GAATTAAAAATATGTTCTTGAAGGAATATTTGCATTCCCATGTTTCTTGTAGCATTATTCACAATGCCCCAAAGGTGGAAACCGCCTAAATTTCCACTGATGGATGAATGATTAAGGAAAATGTGGTACACACGATGGAATACTATTCAGCCATAAAACAGTTCGTGTCATATGCTATAGACTGGATGAACCTTGAGGACATTACGCGGAGTTAAATAAGCCAGTCACAGAAGGACAAACACTGCAGGATTCCACTTACACGAGGTTTCTAAAGCAACCACACTCAGAAACACAAAGCAGAATGGTGGTTGCCGGGTGCTGGGGCAGAGGCGGGGAGGGAAGGGAGCTTCTGTTGAGTGGATGTGGAGTTTCAGTCATGCAAGATGAAAACGCTCTAGCGATCTGCTGCACTACACTGTAGTTGTAGTTAACAACGCTGCATTGTATACTTAAAATTTATTAAGAGGATAGATCTCCACTTTATGTGTTATTTACCACAATAAGAATAATAATAATAAAAGATGGCTGCAATATCACGCTGCATCCTTTTGCGACTATAATGAGCAGAACCCCTTTTTGAGTCCCTGGTGGGTATATAGTATGAGCAAAAGATCGGATTTTATTGTTCTAAGTTACTGCAATTGGGAAACATTTGTTGCCACACTATGATCAGGACTTTCCTAACTGATCAATATTTATTGAACAAATGTTTATTTTTCCTGGAAATAACACTGCCTCATTTAAGAAACTTGCTTTAGTTTCCCTGTTCCTATCAAAAACTCAACTCCAAAGTCTCCTCCAGAAATATAAATCCCTTCTCAGTATTTCCTTTGTCTCAGGACTCTATTAATTTCATCTTTTCTTTGGGATTCTCCATCCAAGGACTGCCCTCTAGCCTCCTACGCCACCGTCTTCCCGGAGCTCTCCTTCACCTCCATCCTGTGCAGCATAAATGCTCCGGTTTCTGCAACTCGAGTTGGCAAAGCTTATCGCTTACCATTCCAGCATCTATTCTCCCAGTTATTGGATGACCTTTCCTAGCCGCCCTCACATTAAGTCAGCTCTGTAACTTATTTCTGGCCCATGAGATGTAAGCAGTAATGTTGTGCATGACCTTTGGAAAGTGTCCTTAAAGGCATGGGGCTCACCCTTCTCTGTCCTTCCCTGCACCAGGGTTTCTCAACCTCGGCACTATTGACATCTGGGGCCAGATAATTATCTCTCACAGGCATCTGTCCTGTGCGTTGTAATGCGTTCAGCAGCATCTCTGGCTTGTACCCATCGGCTGCCAGTAGAATCTCCTCTCCCAGTTGTGACAACTGGAAGTGTCCTCAGGCATTGCCAAATGCCCCCTGGTGGGCAAAATCTCCCTGGTGGAGAACCATTGCTCTGTGCCAGTGACTCTCAACCTTGACTACGAATCAGAATCTTCAGGGGAACTTGTAAAATCCCAAGTGGTTGGGTCTTCTCCCTAGAGTTCCTGACTTAGTAGGTGTGGCGTAGGGCTAGAAAATTTGCATCAAGTCCCCAGGAGGGGCTGGAGCTGCTGGTGTGGAGACTGCTCTCTGAGAACTGCCGATCTGCACGACTTTGCTGTGCAGATAAACCCGTAATTCCTACAAAATAAGTGTTGCAATTGCATTGAACTTAGAAAGGTTGTGACTAGAGGCCATCAGGGTAAATCTTGACAATGGACTTCAGGAGTTTAGAAGGCATGCTATTACAAGAAATTAAAAGGCAGCTGTAAAATGTGTGGATTATGGATCAGATGAAAATTTGGTTTACATTTGCTCTAAATTTGGTGATGTTTCTCAAATAATATTAGCAGTAGAGCTGACCGAAATGAAAAGAAACAATCTCAAGAGAAATGGTGAAGATGATAGCAATGAACCTTATTAGTCTGTAACGTGCATGCCCAACCATCTTTATTCAACATCTTTCCAATTGCTCTTGCTAAGCTTTCTGCAATGACTTTTGTATAAATTTCCAGGGGCTATTTTAAAAATGCTATATAACCTTCCTCACTTACTGCCACATAAGCTTTAATCTTTTAACTAAATAATTTGTGTTGGAACAGAAGAAAGCTGCAGGAGTTAATGCTGCACACATTTTTTGCAGATTGGAGAAAGAATAATAAAAGAGATCATTATGGCTTGGATTCCAATGGATGGCTTGTATTTAATCTTCCAGGTTTACCAGACATGACAGAGCTTGACAGAGGCATTTTTAGATCATCGCTTTTTAGTGCTAATCAGTGCCTGCCCTGCATGCCTGGTGCCAACGTTTAATTGTAGCCAAGAGAATCTGAGAAATGCAAAGATCTATCCCCACGCCAGCAAGTTACAAACAAAATCAATAGCCCTGTGCTGGCAACATTATTTTATTGCTGTCTCTTTAATCTCCTCTCCTCTTTTGCAATTACTTTTATTACTGCTGCTCATTTAATGAGACTGTGGAGTTTGGAGCCAGATGGTGCCATCAGTTAAATCTGAAAGACTCTAATGGAATTGAGTTCAAAGCAGGTTAAAAGTAATAGAATTACAAATTTTGGTGGGCATGACCTAATAGAACACTGCTCTGTGTACCTGTTACACACCAGAAATGAGTGCAGGCTTCCGGCAGAAAGATGTGGATTAAAGTTCAGAGAGACCAAGTGTGCTTACTCACTCACTCACTCAACAAATATTTGACTGTATCCTATCTGGGTGCTTCAGTGTACCATGCACAAGACAGCCCCGGTGCCTGCCCCGTGGAGCTTGTAGTCTGTTAGAGGAGAAAGACAGTATTGAGCAAACAAGCAAGGTCAGCACGAACTTGTGGTGAGTGCCCGGCAGGGAGAGGCAGACAGCCACCGTGGAGGGGTTCAGGATAGAGCAGTTTAGGCGGCTGCTTGATCAAGGGGTGGAGAAGCTCTCGGGGTGGGGGTGGGGTTGCTGTTTAAGCTGAGACCTGAATACTGGGAAGGAGCTGACGTTGGGGAGAGCAAGAGGATTGTCATTACTGCTTGTCAGAATGAACAGCAGGTGCAAAAGCCTTGGGATGGAAGACATTTGGCGTTCCCGAGGAGCACGAGGACACCTAGGGAGGAAGTCAGGGCGGCCGGAGGGGAGACTGGAGAGTGGCCAGAAACTGCTGGACCCAGAGCTGTGGTTGAGTGGGCCGGGTGGACACTGAGACCTTGAGGTTATGCAGGGCGCTAAATACCCCTCTGTGCCAAAGTGCTGATGAGTAAGAGCTGCAGAAAGAAAGTCTCCTGGCTGGGGGAGGCAAATACCCAGGGAGCATCACTGGGTGTCCGGCCAGTATGCGAAGTCGTCCAAAGCATGATTCTGCCCCTTTGTGAAGAGGGCAGGCAAAGCCGAGGCAGTATTTTGATAACGTCTCCTTCTGTAGTAGCAATAATTTAAACTCTGCATCGCTGCCCTTCCTGCAGGGCACAGCTGTTGTACCTAAGTCTCCTCCTCCTTCTCGTTGGTGATGATGCCTGGCCTGCCTTTGAGGAACATCATCGTGTCCCACCAGGTCCCTTGGCAAACGGCTGCAGTGCCCTCCCCAGGGCTTCTGTTCTTTCTTCCTGGGCTGAGGCTCCTTCCCTCCCAGTGGATGAGTTTGCATCCATCAAGGCCAAGTTCAAAGAGTCACATGACCTCCTGGACACTGGGCTTGAGAGGAGAAAACAAACCGCCAATATCCCCAGCATCGCCAAGAAGTCTTTCTGAATTCTCACAGGGATTTATGCTTCCTTTGTTGGCACTTACGTTTGCCTTGTTTACGGAGGGTGAACTAGATTATTAGTTCACGTAAGATAGTGACTGGACCTGTGGCCTTACATATAGCAGGTAATAAAAATATTTATTGAATCGCACTCTTATTAGTAGCTACCATTTATCGAGCAATTAATTTTCTGAGCACTCTTCTGAGGGTGTTTAAACCTTACGTGATAGCTGATTGGATCTGTCAATGTGGCTGGGCTGTAGTGCCCAGATATATTGTCAAACACTATTCTAGATGTTTCTGTGAAGGTAGATTTCAAATGAGGTTAACATTTACATGAATAGACTTTGGGTGATGCAGACAACCCTCCATTGCATGAGTGGCCTCATCCGTCAGCTGAAGGTCTGAGTAGAAAAAGACTGACCCCCACCCCCCCAACAGGAAGGAGTTCTGCTGGTTACTGCCTTTGGATGGAAACTGGGATTCCCACCTGGGTCTGCAGCCTGCCAGCCCGCCGTGCAGATCTTAGACCTGCCAGTCTCCACACCCGTGTGAGCCAGTTTCTGAGAATCAATCTCTCTCTGTCTTTCTCTGTCCATCTCGTTGGTTCTTTGTCTGGAGAACCAGGACTAATAACATACCTGATGTCTAGCCATTCATGCCCATTTCATAGATGGGGAAATTGAGGTTCTGAGGAGTTGAGCACCGTGCCCAGGGGTACACACTGGGTAAGTGGAAGAGCCACCATCCCACGCAGGTCCTCCTGAGTCACAACACGGTGTGGCTTGTTATGCATGAAATCATTTTTAGGCGAACACAATGACCTACCTACAACACAAACTGTATTTCCTACAAAATATCTCACCTTTTTAGAGATTCACAGATTGCCTTGGGATCTCATAGTGTGAGAAAATCATAAATATGTAAATACCTTATTATCCCGGTGACATGCAGAGATGTCCAGTCCCAGAGAAGGTTGCCTAACAGGATGGTGTGTCCTAGATTTTTACTGCACACGTACTTGCTTGGAATATTTAAGACCCCTGTATAAAATTGTCTTTTTTAAGGTCATAATTTCTAAAAACAAAACAAAACAAAATCTTGAAATAGCCACACTGTTTTCATACACAGTCAACTGCAAGACCTTTAGGATCACGAGAGGGAAGTAAATCGGCAACAATTTAAAATGAACCATTATGTGGAACATAAGATTACATCCCACTGCCCCCCAAAATGAAAATAAAACAGAGAGAGATGAACAGCACACGTGGAGTCCTGAGCCTCTTGGTGTCTTTTGCTGTGGGCTAAAGTCCCCTGGTGAGGTCTAAACTTCAAAAGTGGCCTCACACTGGAACTTTTCCACAGGGAAAGTCAGGAGTAAACATTGACCCAGGATCGATTGTTTCTGTGCAAGTTACCGACTGCCCCGGAGAGAGCGGCCAGGTCGCATTTGACAAAGGGAGCTTCTCTTGGAAAGAATCGCCACCCCCAAACCCATAGAGGGACAGTCTCCCTGGCTCCGAATTAAAATCCTTCCTGCCAGGATGGGGAGGATGGCGATGAAGTTGCTGGTTGTGCTTGCTCTTGGGACGAGCTACTGGTCTTGCTCAGGTAAGGTCCCCCGAGACGCGGCCACCTGCTCTCGCGGAAGGGAAGCGCCCCGGCCCGCGGGCCCCGGCTCACCGCGCCCGTGTGCTTGCGTGCCAGGGTTCCCCGTGTACGACTATGACCCGGCCTCCCTGAGGGAGGCCCTCAGGGCCTCTGTGGCGAAAGTGAACTCCCAGTCCCTGAGTCCGCACCTGTTCCGGGCGTTCAGAAGCTCACTGAAAAGAGTAAGTGCGCAGTGACGTCTTCCCCACCCCTCTGCAGACCGCCTCGGTCTCGTCTTCTGTCGGTGTGTTGGGCACCCTTTTTTTTTATTTTTCTAGTTTAAAACCAGTCAGAGCTAATTATCTCTTTCATACGGGGTTTTTTTTTTTTTTTTTTTTTTACCGAGATAGGATTGAATCACAATTTTTGTCATGAGGCTCTGAAGGCTGCTTTTGATGGCTGACTCTTCCGCTGTTTCCTCCCCTCTAAAGCTGTCTTCTGTTTCCCTGCGTTCTGCTTTCGTCCTTGAAGTCCTCATGGCTGTTCCTGAGGTGGTTTGTTAAGAGCTCCTCATTTATCGGGAATAAGCTGCTTTCAAATTCAGCAGTCCTTCTTCTAATACTTACTGGAAATAAATTCTGGGCTTTTGAGCCAAATAAATCCACCTTCTTTTGTCAATGTGGTAATATCCTGTTCCGTCTTATCCTTAGGGACTAGGGAAAGAGGAACTTTCTTGGGCTTCCAATGACTGTGTCTGTGCCGGGCAGGACAGACGTGTAGAAACGTCCTTCACGGGGAAGGAGAAAGGGACGCGGCAAGTGGCCGCCCGCCCTCCTGCCCCCAGGGAGTTTCGCTGCCTGGTTATTGTCTTAATGCGGCTCACTTGGAAGTAGGAACAGAAATATCCTCAAGCAAATGTAGGTTAAGGCAGGAGGTAGGGGAGGTCCTAGAAAGTCACGAGTCTTGCGAATGAAATCTCTGTGCAGCCAGGTGGCGTGGGAGTAAGAACAGAGACGCGGCCAGGAGTCCAGGTGGCGGCTACTCCGCGCAGAGGCCAGACGGCTGCTGCTTCCTCTCCGCCTGCCGTTCCCGTCTTCTGTCCGTCCCGGTCTTCTGTCCGTCCCCGTGCCTCTCACGCTCACTTCGCTCCCTCCCTCTGCTGCGCCGTCGAGCACGCGGTTTCCCAGCCCTCATCTGCAAACACAATATATTCGCCTGGATCTTCTTCGGAAACAGCTCAGCTTCTCTTTGCCAACTCCCAGGGAAATTAATCAGATGGCCCCAGGCGTCTTTTCTAGTTGGGCCGCAGGTCAGGAAGACGATGGGCAGTGCTTTAGCGAGGCGCCCATCCCAGGGCCGGGCTGTCACGGCCAGAGCGGGGTCTCCGGGCCCTGGACGCTGCGGTGCGGGGCCCCCGCAGGGTGTGCGTGGTCAGCTGCCGCCCCGAAGGGTGAACTGCTGCTGCAAGAGGACTGGACCAGAGTAAAGCGCCCTTCCTTGTGCACGGCTTGCGTTGGCTTCCAGATGCCACTTCCACCGGCATCTAATGAAATGCACTTGCGGTGCCGGGAATCGATGTCTTCTTGCCAGGCTTGTAGACGAGCAGTTCACTCGTAATGTAGCTATTGCTCACTGCAGAAGGAAGTCAGTGGTTAATTAAATGGCTAAGAGAATGGGGGCAGATCCTGAGAGAGCCGATTACTGACACTGCAAATCTGGCCTGCGGGGAGGGGCTGCTGTGAGACACAGCCGGCCGCCGGGCGCGTTCTGGTGTGTGCCATCTCGCTACGGCACGCAGACCTGAGCACAGACGCATCCAGAGATGTACGCGTCCTATGGGGTCCTTAATGGGCACATAAATAAGGGACGCCTCTCCCTGCAAGTCTGCCTGTTCTCGCCTCTCCCCAGTCTTTTCTGATTATTCAAATGTATTGATCAATCTACCTTCTCTGTGCCCCGTCCTTGAAAACTCTCTCTCTTCTCCCATCGGGAGGAAGACCCTTCCTCCTTTGATTTCTCCTGGTGACATTGCTTTCTTCTTGGGAGTGTTTCACATTTCGCTTTCTGTTGTATGTGTCAACTGTATCTTCTACAAACACCTTTACACGTGGCTCCAAACATGCCAACTTTCTCTATGCAGTAGACATGGGAGGTGCACTAGGTGAACAGATCATGAACAGACATCTGGAGAAATAGTCAACCTCTCTAATAGAAAGGAAAAAAAAAAATCATAGCTAAAATAACAAGGCAAAAAGGAAGAATAACAAGATAGAAGAACAACTAGGAGAAATCTCAAACACTGTTAGAGAGCTTGTAATTTGGTAAAATCATCTTTGAAAAGCAATTTGGACATATGTGGTAAGCTTATTTATAAGCGTGTTAAACATTAAAATTAGTAAATATTTTTAACTTTTGATCACATAGTTTCACTTCCAGGAATATGTCCAAAGGAAATAGAAGGTTTAGTCAAGTGTATGTATGTGCGGGTGTTTTGGGGTAGAGTTCAGTGGATTTAAGGAGAAGGGTCGAGCCCTTCTACTATACCCCTGAGTTTGCTTAATAAGCCCAGTGATTCTCGACCTGGGTTGCACATCAGCATCACGCGGGAGCTTTAAGTATTGCTGATGCTCAGGAGGCATGATCCGCTCGTGAAATCCCAGCCCCTGAGGGTGGGGCTCGTATTCTTCAATGCTCTTGTGGTCAGAATCAGGAACCACCGGGTTCTACCAATAGACTTGGATCCAATACTCTTGCAATGGATTTCAAATTACTTAATTTCCTGGGCTCCAAGTTTCAGAAAGGATGAGAAAGGCTAAGGTCACATGACTTTAGCTCCGATGGTCTCCGGCTCCACCCTCCACATTAGGCCCACTCAGAGCAGAGAGAGGAAAGGTGGACACAGGCCCCATATGGAGGACGAGGAAGTGGAGGGGACAGGCCAGGCTGTGCTTTCACAGAGCTCAGACTCCACTGGGGAAGGACAGGAAAGGAGAGGAGGGCATGCAATTGAGTAAATACTCATGTTATTTCAGACAGTGGCGAGTATGGGGGCAGGGGGGGGGCAATAAGACAGGTGGATAGATGGACAGGCCCGGGCTGGGGCGGTAGTCAGACCGGGCGGAGGTCTGCACTGAGGCATCATATTTAAGCTGAGACTTGCTCAAGTGACAAGGCATTCCAGCCCTGGGAAGACCTTTTGAGGGGGAATTGGGGTGCACGGGGCAGAGCCAGTAGGAAGGCTCTCAAGGACAAAAGGACTTGAGAGAGTGTCTGGCAGGAGTCAAGAGAGTGAAGCCAGAGCGAGGGACATGAGTGGGACGATCCTAGGTCATAACTGAGAGGGCATAGCCTTGCAAAAACATCCAGAATAATGTTTGACCCAATAACTGGGCACCTTCACCTAGCCATGTTGACACTTAAAACTAATCACTACAATTGCCAAATGGGATTGTTATGGGTCTTTTACTATTTATTTGAAATAAAAAATGAAATAAGATCATTACAAAAAGTTAGAAAATACGAGAAAGAGCAAACCCAAGACAGTGCACAGTGTCCATTTCTCTGAGACGCTCGCTGTAAACTCGTGGGAGGACATCTCTTCAGAGTTTTTTCTCTTCCTATGAAGATAGAAAATAAGTTTCAAAAGAAAAACAGGACCATACTATAATATTGGTTGTAAATCACCACAATCCATGTCAGCAATAATGCTGGGTTTTGAATTCCTTGTTGCTGGGCCCTTGGGCTGCCCTGCATGTTTCAAACAGCCCAGAGCAGAAAAGTGCCGGCTGAGAGTGAGTCCAAACGAAACAGCAAAAATGGTAGGTGTTCCTCCACGTTCTTGCAAGAGTACTCAACAGTGCTTAAAGATGCAAAAGAGGTTGCATCTCAGAGTTCAATACAATGATCTGTGCTCAAAAAACCTACATTCTCGTATTTCCCACTGAGCTGCGGCGCGGCCAGCTTGCATTTGTCACTAAGCGTTCGTCATGCCAAGCGTGGTTGGGGTTGCAGAGCCCCACACAACGGCTGCAGGTGATGGGAGAGGTTTTTATTATTTAACTTGTTTGCGAGACTCAGATTTAATATCGAGTCTGGTAAAATTATAAATAAATGAGGTAGTGATTAATGGTGAGGTCGAGTTTTTATTTCTACCCGGTTTCAGAAAATTCTGCCTTTATCAACACTTACTACATATCCTGTGATAGAAGACACGAAGACTCCCATCCTAAGCTTGGAGTCTGCCACGTTTTTCTAGGACAAAACTTCCCACAGCGCCCGTTGCCCCCGCCCCGTTGGTGGTCCGCGCTCTTGCACTCCGAGCTCTCTCCGCACTGCGCGGGGGTCGAGGGTGCCGCCGGCTCCAGTTGCCGCAGGCGGGCTCTGGAGCCCAGAGGGAGCCGTGACGTGCAGCCCGGGGGCGTTGTCACGGTCACGCACTGGACATGGTGGGCTCCCCCGTGGCCTCCTGCCACTGTCCTGCTCCTGCCGCATCCTGTTGGCCTTGCAGCAGCCCTGGTGATTCGGACGTGCCCCTTAAAACCTTGTGACAGCTTCTCATCCATCGAGTATGAACTCTAAACCCCTCGCCATGGGCTACGAGACCAAAACTTGTCTGACACCCCCACCTCCCCAATGTCATGGTGTGCGGGGCTCCCCTTGATCCTGCTGTTCCAGCCACAGGAGTCAGACTTGTCCCCACCCCAGGGCATCAGCTCTGCTTTTCTTCACACGATGGGGCCCTTCCCAATCTTCCAGTCTCAGCTGCAATTTCCCTTTTTCAGGAGGATTTTTCTGGCCCTTTCTCTAAAGTAGCTGCTTCCCTCCCTCACCCCCATTGCCTTTTGTTTTTTTTGCTATTGTCTTCATTGTTTTATTCGTAGCACCATAACCGTCTGGAATGACCTTGTTTAGTTTTCTTTAACACATTTACTGTGTGGCACCCCCTCTGGAACCTGAGTTTCCTGGCATCGTCCCTGTCCCTGCTCTGTCTCTGGTCCCGAACACAGGCGAGCACGCAATTCATCATGACTTCGTGCCATCAGAGCCTCCCAGTCTTTTTGGGAAGTTTAGAAGCCTCCCCCAGTATCCCACTCCCCGGGAAAAGAGCAGACGATCACGTAAACTCACTCACGGTCGCACCTGCTCCAGCAGGACGCCGGGGCTGGGTGACACTCCGTCCGGCAGAGGTGCACTCGACACTGCATGACTTATTTCAGGAATTATTAAAAATCATGGAGCAGTCTTTTAGGAAAATGACACTTAAAACCATATGAGGTTGATCCTTATTATTTGTGGCAGCTGTGTCCTATAGAATCACCACGAACGGAAGTGGGACACTGCTTCTAAGAGGAATACAGGGTTGGGTTCCCGTGAGCTTCGGGCCGCAGTACTTTCATCAGCCCATCATTACCAGCCTTGCTTTAGCGAGTTCCTGTTTAAAGACGACTAATTGAATATATACTGCTGATTCGTTAACATCGAACCCATGCCCGCGGCGCCGTAACTCATGCCTGAACAAAGCTTATCTAGCACGTGCCCTTTCCCCGTGAGGCACATGGCGGCCTTCCTGCGCTTAACAGCGCCAGACAGCTCCTTCGCACGAGGCCTGGGGGCGTCTTAAACACCGAAATCGCCAACAGGAAGCACAAAAATGCAAGACGCCTGACACTACGTAGGCCACAAAGAGCACACCTGTCTATAGTACGAGAGCCGAACAAGAAAGCGGGAGTCTCCTTATCTGACCTCAGTTGGGAACACGCACCTTAGGTGACTCCAATTTTTCACCGCTCTTCACTTGCCGCCAATGATTGCAAGAGTGCCGTAAGTATTGGTCTTGGGGTGACACATGCATTTTAGTGAGCAGGGGAATTAACAAACATGGGGTCCGTGCGTAACGAGGATCAACTGTATTAATAAATGGACGTGGTTAGAAGCAATACTGGCCTTGGAGTTAGGACGCTTACTTTCCGGTTCCATCTGTGCCACAAAAGTATTGTTTGACTTTGGTAAATCACTTTTTCCCTCTGGTCTTCACCACAAAGGCATGGAACCAGGGGATTGCTAAGACAATTTACAGCTTTCGTGGTGATTTTCACATTTGTCTCTCATTGGGCAGAGAGAATTGTTTCCAGCACTGTGAACTTTAGGAACACCTCTGTTGCAAGCGGACACTTTTGTTTTCGTGAAGGTGGAGGTCCTGGATGAGAGCAATTTGATCATGAGTTTAGAGTTCAGCGTTCGAGAAACTACGTGCGGGAGAGATTCTGGAGAAGATCCTTCCACGTGTCCCTTCCAAGGCAGCTACTTCTCGGTGAGTGTGGCGGGGAAGGACCTGGTCCCAGAAACCACCGTAAGGAGAAGGCTCACCTCTTCCATGACCTGGGGTCAGGCAAAGAGCTTGGCTGCTGCCTGGGTGGCATCTGGCCACACCACTAACTGTGTCAACAGTGTCCCCTGCTGGGGCTGTGCCGTCCAGTGGTGGACGCCTGGGGCCCTTGAGCCGTGGAGTCTGTGGTCCTGCCATGTGGGGTTATTTTGTAGTTGACTGTTGAATGTCACCACTCTGCCCTACTGGTTCAGGCTCCACGAGACCAGCAACGTGGCGTGTTCATTTTTGTATGCCATGTGACCAGAACACGCTACGACGCTTAGTCAACACCCACGGGCAGGAATCCTGTCTGAACACGGCAACACTATCAATTCATAATTTGCCTTCCATGGTGTTTGCAGTCAGGCGTGCGAGCTCTCGGGGTTCTGTTATTACACTTAAGGAAGGATTGGTTTGATTATTTGTTCCAGCACACTTTTCACTGCGACTCTGTTTCACAGAGGACCCAACTCAGAGTGTCACGAGGGTCTATTTCTAATGACATCCACGGGCAAAGGAGAGGAGAGCAGAGGCCTGGGGGGTCTTCGCCATTTCTTGTTGTTCCAATGGGAATGAACTCCAGGCATGTTTGCTTCTCCCAGAGACCCGTAATATATCCAACGCCGAAGAGATCATTTAAATATTTCACTTGTTTCTGCTTAGGAGTTGAGAAATTTTTCATCTTCAAAAAACCTCTGTGAATGTTCCCTTTCTTCATCATTTTGTCCACCGACAGTGTTGCCTGATTTGCTGGGCAGAGGCTAACCCTTTCGACGAGCAGCCAAGCTAAAACTCCCTGTTTTGCCTCTTGCAGCCAACAGCCGTCTGCAGGAGCGCCGTGCAGGTGTCGGCCGAGCAGGTGCGGGCCGTGCGGGCTCGCTGCAGCTGGGCGGCCGCGTCCTCGGCGTCGGCGTCCGAGTCCCTCAGCAGCGAGGAGGTGGGACCAGGGCCTTGTCTCCTCCCAGAATGCGCCTTGTGGGGTCAGCGCGGGTGTGTGAAAGGCAGAGTGGGTTGATAGGGTGGCTGGATTGCCACTCGGGGAGGAGCAAGCATCACTCTGCTTGCACAGTTTTGTTCTCCCTTGTATACCCACAGTCTCACTACCTCATACTCTGTATCCCAACTTCTCCTGGCCTATTCTTGTGTGTGCGTGTTCGTTCTCTCTCTCTCTCTCTCCCTCTCCCGCCTCGCATGCCCCTGTGACTTGGGCCATGATCTTGAAGTAACAATGAGCGAATCTTCACAGCTCTAGATCTGTGTACCTCCCTGGCACTGTGGTTTAATGGTGTGAAGAGGGGAATTTCTGTTGGACCTACATTCAAAACTCTTCCCCAGCTCTGCTGTCTAGGTGAGCAGACTTAATCTTCATGCAACCCTCATGACCCACAGCTTCCTCATCTGTCAAACTCCAGTCACGATGACCACCTTATAGGTTGTTGAGAAAACCAGGCAAGTTGATGGCCCAGTGCCTGGTGCATAATAGATGCTCAGTGAATGGCAGGGTACTTTTTTCCCCTGTTGCATTAAAAACGATTTGCAATAATACTTTAAAATTGATAATATATACAATTCTGACTTGCAATTATATTACATTTTTTTTTTTTTTTTTTTTTTTTTTTTTTTACTAGACTGGTATGTCTCATGACAGCCGGGGAGGTTTGTTTTTGTCAGTCTAGGTCAATGTTTGATACAGGGTAGGTACTCAGTAAATACTTGAATGAATACAAGAAAATTCATTCAACAAGTATTTACTGAACAAGAATACAATATGAAGAGGCAGCCTCTTTAAACCAGGGATATAAAACTAATGACTTACTTTATTTGTTTGTTCATAATTAGATAATATTCTACACAGGTATTTTTAAAATGTTTCCACCATTATGCAGGTGAATCTGTCCTACTACATCTTAGATTCTTATTTAATTTTTAAGATTTAATTCTGTAGCAAAAATCACATTAAAAGAGTATAAAACTTCAACTTCAAGAATTCCACATAAAAGTTAATTGTCCCATATAGCTTACATACCCGCAGCCCTAACTATCGAGTATGGAAAGCCATTTTAGAACAGAAAGTGATGAAGCTCGTGACTGGGAAACTCCTATCACAGAGGATGGTTTTGTAGGTACAAAGACAACGTTGTGCAGTTTAAGGACTTTCTCCACAAAAATTTTTAGCTGAGCGTAAACTTATTGATTGTTCCTGTTCACACTGGCAACATGTGAGGTCAATTTCCAGGTGATTTCTGAGCCTGTCGTAGAGCTGGAGCACAAGAGTCTTCTGTTCTTAGTGCTAGCAATAGCTTGGGCAAGCACCAAGGGCTTCCTTTTCTAGACTCCACTAAAATATCCAGGAAGTCAGATGTGTTTCCCAGTAACACACTCACTGGCCTGTGGGCCCAGCTAACACAGAGATGAGGACATGGGCCAAGCACACGGTATTCTGTTAGTATTGATTTTTGTGGTTTGTATGAGAAAAAGAGACCGAGGGGAGCAAGGGAAGCCCAGTCCCAGACTCAGTGGGGTTTATAGAATCCCCTGGGAGGGGTGGGGGAAGGTGTCCGTGAAGTAGGAATTGACTACCAGGGACCACATAGCGAGAAGAGTGAATGTCGTGTAGGGGCAGACAGAGCTTCTGGAGGGAAGTGTGTTCAGAGCAAGAACTGGAGGGTGGGTGGGAGTCAGACACAGGGCACAGGGTGTGCAGGGGAGGAAGGAAGGGTGTCTCTAGCACAGGGGAAATCACACGGGCATGCCCCGAAGAGTGAGGGAAGTGGTGGGTCAGAATGGAAATCCATTATAACCAGAATAAGCAAATATGGGCTGAGAGGCACAGGTGGGGCTGGAGGTGAACAAGGTAGGTTGGCTACTGAAGGACTATAGGTGTGTGAGGGTGTGGGGGAGGGTGAGAGAATCAGACTGGAACCAGGTGAGAACAAACACGGGCACAGGAGGTGGCAGGAGAGGTGAGAGAGAATGCTGATTGGAGCTAGGGTCTAAGTAGCAGTAAAAGTCAAGAGAAATGGGTTCTAGTTCATTCTGTGACCTTTAACACAGAGTTAATTTAATAGATGGCCACCTAATTTAACCCCTTTTCCATTTCTGCTTTGGAGAGTTGATTCTCATTGCACAACCCACAGATCTGTTGCAACCTTCTAATTGCATAGTGAAGATCACAGAGAAGACTCCGATATTAAATTAAGTTAGCCCCAGGAACAAACTATATTTTAGAGTAAACTCCCAGGTGGCTTGTCATTAAAAATGAAGAGATCATAAGGAATTATGAACAAAGTTATTGAAAAATTCCAAAATTAAAGAATTTTGCCATTCAAAAGAAAAGGAAGAAAGCAGATAGAAATTTCAAATAATTCCTGGCAACTCTGAAATGGATTTCTCACATGAAACAGAGAGAAAAAATAGAAATCAGCTGTAAACCATTTTAAATGAAATAAATGGTGACATTACCAGCATGAAAGACAATGAACTAGGATAAATTTAGTCATAGAAACAAATAATTCATTGTTGGGGGCAGGAAATAGAAGAAATAAAACTGAAAAGAATTCCGGAGTAATGAAAATAAAGCTCACTTGAAAAACATATGTAGACTATAGAAGAATTTCCAGAGGAGGGAATATAATATAAAGAAAGATAGAAGCCATGGAGAATAAGCCCCCCCAATCCAAACTATGACTAATAAAGACTCAGATAACTGTAACATGTCTGATAAGGACAGAATGAGAGAAAATGTCCCAAATACAAAAAATGTGGACTTCCCACTACGTAACTTTATGAAGTATAGGAACTGTAAGAGAAATTGAGGAAATAGATTTCTAAATGTGCAATTATTCTCTTTTTAAACAAATAGATATTTGAATTATGGGTAGTTTTTATTATTTCTTTTTCAAATTTGAAAGGGAATTATGTTGAGGATAAAGGGTTTCCATGTGGTGTTCAAGCCCTTACGCGATCCCATGATGATGCGGCTGCCACACGAGTGCTATGCTAAGGTCGCAGGTTGATGCTCTCTTGCTTTCTTCAGCTTCCAACATGTGGGCTCCACTTCAGGCAAATCCTGCTGACGTGGAGTGGATGGAATGAAGTTCGACTAGGGTTTCAGCCAAGGGACCCAAAATAGTTCAAAAGAGAAAAACTGAGGTGGAAGAACAACAGGAACTCTGAACTCAGGGGAGGAGAAGTGACAGGCATTTATTTAAATTATTTACTCTTTCCATTTCCAAAGATAGAAATCCAACTCGAGGTAGTCTAAGCCCAAAAGGGGTATTTCCCTGGATCATGATCACATTCCCAGAAAGGAAAAGGAGGAGTTGGCCTCATGGACAACTCAACTTCAGAGACCTTCAACACTGTGTGTGTCTACTCCTCCTCTCCACTTCCCCTCCACCCTCCCCCTTTCTCTCTTGTTATAGGGAAGCTTTCTCCTTGCAGCAGGAAGTAAAGTCACAAGCTACTTCAGATTCATGTCCTCTGAACTTAGTAAGAAAAGGAAGCATTTCTCTTTAACTGCAGTTAGAGAAATCTCTTGGCATTGGTCCCATTGGCCTGGCCTTTGTCACATGCCTCCTCTTTTTCCTCTGCTGATACATGGAACATTACTATTTACTTTTAGTTGTGTATATCTACCATGTACAACATTTTTATTGTCAAATAATGTTCCATTTTATGGATCTACCACATTTGATTTTCCATCCATTAGTTGATTTTTTTTTTTCGGCATATTATGGGGGTACAGATTTTAAGGTTTCAATAAATGCCCATTTCCCCCCTACCCCCACAAGTCTGAGTCTCCATCATGACCATCCCCCAGATGGTGCACATCTCACTCATTATGTATGTATATACCCGCCCCCCCGCCCCCCTCCCACCTGCCCAATACCCTATTACTGTAGTACCTATGTGTCCACTTAGGTGCTACTCAGTTAATACCAGTTTGCTGGAGAATATATCTGGTGCTTGTTTTTCCATTCTTGGGATACTTCATTTAGTAGTATGGGTTCCAGCTCTAACCAGGAAAATATAAGATGTGCTATATCACCATTGTTTCTTAGAGCTGAATAGTACTCCACGGTATACATATACCACATTTTATTAATCCATTCTTGGATTGATGGGCACTTGGGCTGTTTCCACAGCCTTGCAATTATGAATTGTGCTGCTATAAACATTCGAGTGCAGGTGTCTTTTTTGTAGAGTGTCATTGGATCATTTGGGTAGATGCCCAGCAATGGGATTGCTGGATCAAATGGTAGATTCACTTGTATCGCTTTAAGGTATCTCCATATTGCTTTCCACAGAGATTGAACTAGTTTGCAGTCCCACCAGCAGTGTAGGAGTGTTCCTCTCTCTCCGCAACCAAGCCAGCATTTATTGTTTGGAGCATTAGTTGATTGACATTTGAGCTATTTCCACATTTTTGGCTATTGTGAGTAATGATGCTAGAAACACTCATGTGTAAGTTTTTGTGTGGACGTATGTTTTCAATTCTCTTGGGAGTGGAATTACTGGACATTATAGTAACTCTATGTTTAACTTTTTGAGGAACTGCCAAACTGTTTTTCATAGCAGCTATACCATTTTACATTCCTACCAGTAATGAATGAGGGTTTCGGTTTATATACATTCTTGCCAATGCATGTTATTGCCTGTTTTTTTTAAGCCATTCTAGTGAATGTGAAGTGGTATCTCATTGTGGTTTTAATTTATAGTTTTCTAATGACTAATGATTTGCCATTGTACATCTTCTTTGGAGAAATATCTATTCAAGTTCTTTGCCTACGTTTTAATTGGGTTATTTGTCTTTTAATTATTTTAATTGTTTGCAAGTATTATCTCTCACTCTGTGTTGTCTTCCACTTTCTTAATGGTATCTTTTGAAGAGCAAAAGTTTTAAAGTTCTTGAAGTCCAATTTATCTATTTTTTCTTTTGTTATTTGTGTGAGTCTTATACTTAGGTCTATGATCCATTTTGATGTAATTTTTGTGTGTGGTGTGAGGAAGGGATCCAACTTCACTCTTTTGCTTGTGGATATCCAGTTGTACCTGCACTATTTGTTGGAAAGACTATTATTTCTCTGTTGAATTATCTTGGTATGTTCCTCCTCCTCAACCAATCACTGTGATGGGGGCCAGGAGACTCCCTCTGCCTGTTTGGGATGGAGAGGGTAACAGGGAGGCAGCCCAGACTCTTGGTGGGAAGATTGTGGGCCAAGCAGCCACCTTACTGTGTGACTATTACATGGACTTTCAGTGTGAAAACTTCTTATGGATATCTTTTCCTCCTGAACCTCTTATGGGGGCTTCATGGAAAGAAAACTCTGACATTTGACCTAAACTCTGTATAACTAAGTTCTGTCTTTCTGATCTACAACATTGGGGATACATTCTGAGTCTAGTGGAAAGCTTTTGGTCAATTTAAACTTCATGTAAGTTACTCTTCCCCATCTACTTTCTTAAACATATATATTTGATCTATAAAATTATTTAATATAATATATTACCTCATGTCATTAAAATGAATTATATTATATGTCAAAGTCTTCCAGATAACATTTACACTTTTTACAATGTCTTTCTATTTTCTCTCTTTCATGTGCTGATACATACTGATGCCTAAATTTCTTTAGATGATTTTCAGGGACATGTTAGGATCTCATACGTGGAGAAATAATTATCCATTTGGTAAGTTAAGATCTGTTCTTTTTAATGTTTTTTTTCATAAAACAAACCTCATATTGAGGCTCTTTGTTAATGAGTCATTTAAAAGCAGAAATACCTACAGATAGCCTTTGAACAATTACAATAACTATAAAAAAATAACATTTTGTTTTGTTTTGCTTTTGCTCCTCTTTTATCACTAGGCAATAATGATACAACTATTCACTTAAGGTATTCCTTTATATTTACAACAGAGCTTTTCCATGCATAATTCTACTTGATGGCCCCAATGGCTGAATAAATATTAGTTTTTCCCCTTAAGTGGGTCCCCTAATTTGAACATGCTTGTTCCCTCCTGAGTTACAGGGCCCAGATATGCAATAGCATGGAGCTGGGAAGATCAGGACTAAACCTTGTCTGGTTGGTTGAGGCTGAACTCTGTAATCCTGCAGCCATGCAACTAGAGCTGACCATCTCTTTGAGTGTCTTGGTTGGAGGGAGAATGGGCTCTCCATTTTTTCCCTGTTTATATGGCCTCTAATTTGAAGTGAGATTGGGTCAGTGCTCTAGGATTTAGGAGCTCACGGAAATATTAATTCTGTGTTACTCATTTTAATGAGGAACACTGAATGGTGGATCTCACGATTCCTTTTATGTTCCTGAAGCTTTTTCCTTCAGTGCTGATGATGGCAGAACTCTACGATGATCTCTCACTGCTTCTTTGCTTAAAATGCATATTTGTGAAATCAATAATAAAATCACACAACATTCTGGAAATAGGAAGAGGGATCTTGTCTTATGGCTGTTACTGTGTCACAGGTCTCGTTTCTGATGAATCCAGAATCGGACAATTTTACGATCGGTCCCTTGGTAAGTGGCCTGTTCCCTGCTGCAAGACACCACCAGACCCTTCTCTGATCAATCCAGACTCTGCTGAGAAATCCTATTTCATAGGAGTCTCTATTTCACAGGAGTCAAACCTCTGAAATACAAAATGTAAGTGAAAATGAAAAGAATAGTAACGTACAAACTTGCCTTGCAAATCAATAAAAAGATAACCTTGAGGCACTGACCCACTTAAAAGTTACCAAGAATGAAAATATCAAGTCTGGTTCAGCAAATTAGCATTGACCTTTTTTTCCCCGCCCTCCTCGGAAGCACTTTTTGAATAGCCCAAACGCTAATGATCTTTTTGCCATACTCGACGAAACTTCTCAGTAAGTGGGTGAAACTAACAGTTATTTTGTCCCTCCCCTGAACAGATCAGTTTTCTCATGTCATCTGCACGATAGCTCTGAAAACCAGGTGTGTTGTCTGCTTGTAAAAACTCGTGGCATTAACTGGCACATACAAAATGCTTACCCCGTACACAATTTTCTCCTTCAACTTTACAACCATCAGAACTGCCACTCTCCAGAGCCTGCGCTTTTTCCATGCTGCCTCCCAGAGGAATTGTGAAATCCGCCATTCGGTGTTCCTCATTAAAATGAATAATGCAGATATTCATATTTCAATGAGCTCAATGTCTGATCTGCATTAGGCATACTCCAATTTATATGAAGTGTTAGGCCTTACAATCTGAGGCTTAATTTTTAAAAATGCCTAGTTTTCATACTTCTTCCAAGTTATCACTTTGGGAGAACACATGGTTGCTATATCAGATGTATGACCACCGATGAAGCATTTTTATGAGCACTTCTTTTGGAATTGCCTTCAGAACCTATGGCCCATTGTTTTGAATCTCTGCAGTGGTGGCAAACATTGGCCCTCAGATTTGATGTTGGAAATAGCCAAAAGCTGTCTGGAAATAAATCTTATGCATCCAATTAATAACAAACTTGGGTGCATTGGCTATCTATTGCTGTCTATCAAATTACCCCCAAATTTAGCAGCTTAAAACAACAAGCATTTATTATCTCATGGTTTCTGAGGGTCAAGAACTCAGGAGCAACTTAACTGGACGGTTCTGGTTCGGAGCCTCTTACGAGGTTGTGGACAAGGTGTTGACCGGGGCTGTGGTCTCAGCTGATGCTCGACCAGGGCTGAAGTAGCCACTTGCGAGAGCACTCGGTGCTTCGTGGGCTGTCGGACTGAGGGCTTTACTTTTCCACCATGTGGCCTTTCCACCGTGTGGCCTTTCCACATGACTTCCCCAGAGACAATGATCTGAGAGAGAGAAAGAGAATGAATGAGCAAGCAAGAGAGCACCCGAGACAGAGGCACAATCTTTTACAACCCAGTCTTGGAAGTGATATGTCATCACTTTCGCATATCTTATTGATCACCCAGACCAGCCTGGGCCACTGTGGAGAGCACTGCCCAGGAGTGTGAACACCTGGAGGCCGTTTTGGAGGCTGACTACCTCCTTGGGCAAATGCCATTTGGGACAAAAAATAGTATGTGGATATAAACTAACGTCACCAATCCTTTTATATGTCTCGGAAGATATTTCCAAGAGGAGACATCAGCACATATTGGGCCTTGGGGAGCATGACTGACACAGACGGGCAGCTGTCTTGGAGACTGCTTTGAGCATGATGATTTAATTTAATTCAACAAATGTGTGTAACCAGCCCTGGGCAGATCCCGTGGAGGACTGAAAGATAAATGTGGCAGTCCCTCCCCCCGGGGCTTCCAGCAGTGGCTGAGACACCAATGGTAATATAGAGCGGTAATACAGAGCAGGGAGAGACGAGCTCTGGGCAACACGGTGCAGGGGAGAGGAGGGCGAGCCGGACAAGGGGGTGAGGTCATCGCATCCTCAGGTGTCCTCTTGGTAATGGCCTCAGGCTATGCTGGTCGCAGCCCTTCTCGTTAATCTATAGTCACACAGTCCCTGTTGTCTTAGGTCTCGGGTTGACTGACAGCCTCTGTGTCCCCTTTCTATCCTTAGAGATCATGAGAAGGGTCCTTCCTCCTGGAAACAGACGGTACCCGAACTACCGGCACAGAGCAAGAATAAATGCTGGCCTTGAGTGACAGCCCCAGGTAAGGGGACACCGCTAAACACATGGGTATTTAGCAATAGAAACTGCTCAGAGTGAGTGCCTTCAAGCTGCCAGCCTTGGAACCTCTGTGACAGTCCCGTCCTCGCCCGCCCCCAATGCCACCCATCTCTTCAGTCTCACGTGGCTGTGCTCTTTCTCTGCGGCCCTTGTGTCAGCGGCCACTGAGGTGACCCGTCTCTCCTCTTCAAGGGCAAACAGCAGCAAGAGAACAGCCCCTTCCTCTGACCCCTCCCGCCCAGCCCGCACCTGTCTTCCTGCCGCCTTCCCCACGCGGCTGTGGTCCCCGGCCGCTGCCTCCGGCCCCTCACCTCCTTTTCACTCTCTCGCTTTTTGCAAACTGGATTCTACTCCTTCTCATCTATGAAATCTGATCTGACTTCCTTTCCTTAATCTACAATGCAAATACTGTATTTTCTCCTTAGCCCAATTCTTCCCATATTCTATAGAATATTCCCATATTCTATAGATTACGCTGCTGCCTCTTCCTCTTGCCTGACTTTAACTAGCACTGAGGTGTCATTATTTCCAACTATGTGTCTCTCGCCGCACTCCAAGCTGGCATCCAGGTCCTCATAGCAACCACCTGGTGGATGCCGTTGCCATGAGCATCCTGTGGGCCCCTGAAAGTCGACTGGCTTCCTGCCAGGCTTCCTTTCTTAGTGGACGGCACCACCGTCCACCTAAGTGCCTCACGCTAATAACCTGGGGGACATGATTGACTCCTCTTCCTCCTTCGTCTTCTCCCACATCCACAGGGGTCTGGTCTCGTTGATTTCACTGCACATTTTCCCTGGCATTGGCCCGTCATTTCGCTGCCATCACCACTGTTGACTGCATTCTTCCCTCTGGCCGGATCCCACGCTCTCTACCTTGCATGCCGTCTCTGGGTTTATCGTGAAACACAGAGGAGACTCTGCTCCTTTCCCCCCCAAACCCCTGACACTCGCTTCACCTGCGGGATGCAATAGCTGGGTTGCAGTAGCCAGACACTGAGCCAAGGGGACAGGCAGGCTGTGTGCCCCCTGCTGTCGAGAGCCGGCTCATCACACTCCCACGTGCACATGCATTTCCAGTCTCTAGGGCTGGGATGGGAGCACAGGTAGCTGCCATGAAGGGCACCCTTAAAAGGAATCTTAAGATGCCATTCTAGAAGTTCATTGAGTGCATGGTCGTTTTTTTCATGCACACACACAAGTTAATGGTGAGGCTTGAGCTGTACGGTTCACACAACACTGCATGCTGTCGGGATAAAGTCCAGACTCCCCGGTGCGGCTCCCAGTGGCCTTCATGATCTGGCTCTGCCCACTGCTCCAGCCTCACCTCTGCCACGCCCCCGCACCTCACTCCAGCAGCACTGAAGTCCTCCCCCTGCAGCCTCCACTGGGATCAGCTGCAGGGGGAGCTGACTAGCTGAGCCTGCCCCTTCGGGTCTCAGCCCAGTGTGCCTTCCCTGCGGTGGTCTACACTGACACCACAAGCCGCCTCCACCAAATCAGCGACGATGTTCGCTTCTGTTCCTCCGTAGAGTCCTCATCACAGGGGGCAGAGATTGTTTGTTTCCTCTCTGCCCATCGACTCCACCAGACTCCCCTAGGGCAGGGCTCAAGAACCCTCACCTGCCGTCCTGCCCGCTGCCCGCACCCAGCCCGGCACGCTCAGTGTGTAAGCATTCTTACACACGGGCAGTGCGTGTTCTCTGGGTGCATGAAATCCTTTGCTTTGGGTTCTTGACATTTTATACCAAAAAAAAAAAAAAAAAATCAAGTAAGCATAATATAATTAATTTTTAACCACTGGAATTTGAAAGAAGTCAACTGACATTTTACTAAAATAGAAGGAAAATTCACCAGTGAGGCCTTCTTGGATAAAAGATGCAAATGGTAGGTTTTCTTTTCAATCTATGATGCGCTCTAAAAATAAAAACCAGCTTCAAACCGAGATCGAGAAACTAGTCATTATGAAGAAACAGACTCATCATATTCCTTTTTTATAAATGTAAATCATTTCTTTTTGCTTCACAGAGTATCCTGGGGATAGGGGGAAGGGATAGAATTCTCAATGGATTGGCTGCATTTTGTTTATTAATAATATGATTACATTGGCTGTATATGCATATGTGCATTGCAATATAAATGCATCATCTGATTTCTATAAAGAAATTGATCGCTTAAAACATGTCTTTTAAAAGGCAGCACAAACTGAAGGCCAAATGCCGCTTGCCCTGGTCTAGACATTGACTTTGACCGGAGTCCCAGTTATGTCTCTGCCCTCCCGTGACCTTCAGGGCAGGTTTCCACGCTGTGCTCTGGGTTTCCTAGAATCACAGGGTGAGGCTGGCAGGGCTGGCACTGTGGGCCTAGAGAGGGACCAGCCTGGGGAGGGGACCTGGAGTGACCAGCCTGGCTCTGCGCCTGCTCTCCCACCCACGAAGGCCACCAGTCCCCTAACTTCTCAGGGCTCAGTTTCTTCAAAGGCTTATTACTATTTTTGACTTACTTTTGTCCCTGCTAGAGCATGAGCTCTTTGAAGATGCGTTACCTTGTGGTCCTTACTAATTATTTTAGTTTTATAATAAGTAAAGATATCATTAATGATATGCCTACATGAAATTATCAGTAACAATATCCTTTGTCGGCTTCATCATGCTAAGAACAGTGTGTAGAATATAGTCAGTCAGGCTGGGAGGAGAGAATAGATGAGTGGATGCACGACCAAAACCACAGTTGATATTTTCAAATTGTGGATGGCATTTTGGGGAGCTCCTTGAGGGTGGACACTTGGGCTCATTTATCATGGGAATTCCCAGAGCCCTAAACACTGTTCTAAGAATTCTTTAAGGCTGGTAGAAATGATTTGCTGTATGAGAGTGGATAGCGAATTGTAATTGTAAACAAAGAGCTCCGAACTCATTTCTTACATTTGTTACTCTGAAAGAGGCAATGTGGAAAACTAGGTCCCGGCTCTCTGTTGAAAGGAATCTACTAGAGAGTCCTATAGGGTCTTGATCTCCGCCGCTGGAATAGCTCCGACTTTTCCGTTATGTGGTGGCCAGAGACCCTCGGCACCGACGCCACAGCAGCACGAGTGACCCCCCTTCCTTTCCGTTGCAATATTGTCTATTAGTACGGAGTTCTGAATGTGGCTCAGGGCAGCAGAGAAGGCAGTTCTGACTGAGGCTTTTTCAATAAGTGCGTAGTGGAAAGAATCAGTCTTAGGAGTTTATGTCTTTGTTCAACAAATGTTCCTTCAGTGCCCGCCTCCAGTCTGGCCCCTGCGCCCTTGAAGGTCACAGCCCTCAGGTACGCAGGGATCTGTGTGTATGTGCGTGACCATACGTAAATCCTGCACAACGCAAGCGCGGCGTGATTACTGCAATCCCCTCTGATCACAGGTGAGGAAGCACAGGCATGCAGAAGCCCCGCTCTCGGAGATAGCGCTGGGACTGGGCTTCACCTCGTGGTGCTGTCTGTCCCCACACCCCTCTTTTCCCTTCCTGTGATGACACTCACCCCTCCAATGTTTAGGAAACAGCACGAGAGGACACAACGCCAAGGACTGTTTGTTTAAGACACGTTTGTCATGTTTGAGTGTGTTAACTTAAAAATCATGCAGTTTACAAATTTGGGAAGGAGAGCTTCATTGCTTTAGAAGGGGATTGCAGCCTGCAGGGGGGAGCGCAGCCTCCGGCTGGGAAGCAAAGCCAGCATGTGGAGGGGAGGGAGGGTGAGCAGGGAGGGACGTGTGGGGACCAGGCTGGCCAAGCCTCCCTATTGGACAGGTTATGGGAGGGGCTATGAATATTCATGTCAGGGGTCCTCACACATGCGTGTTGAATAAACATGCATGTTGCATGCATCTCACGCTCGCTTTAGGGTGGAGACTTAACATTTCAAGGCATTGCAATTAGCCCTATGTGTCAAAAAGTGAAGCAGGGACATGAAGGCACCCAAGTGCACAGCCTCTGTGAACCGGTCAGAACCGGTCCATGGTCGGTGGTCTTCTTATCAGGAGAAAGTTAGTGAAATCAGTGTCTTGGCCGATCGAAGCTGCAGCCGTGCCTTGTGGAATGGGGGGGTCGTCAGTCACTCGGTGTCGGGGTGGATGAGCTGCGACTGTTTCAACATGCTGTCTCCAGGTCGGTGCTTGTTTAGCTGCTGGAGAAAAAGGAAATCCTTGTGGCAGTTAGAACACAGTTTGAGTGTAGGGTGTGTGACCTAGCCCTCTGCTGGCATGGCCTTAGGCCCTGCTTATAACTTGGTATCTTATGGCCGCAAAGTATGTTCTGTTGGTCTTGTGATCTCTGTGTTAACATTCATGCTGGTCCGTTGTTGTGTCTAAACCACAAAAGGGAGGGGTTATAGTGAGGTGTGTCCGACCTCCTGTCCCCTCCTGGCCAGGAACTCAGTTTTTAAGGTTTCTGTGGGGTCCCCTTGTCCAAGATGGGGGTCCATTCAGTCAGTTGGCGGGGCTTAGAGTTTTATTAGTTTATAGGTGAAACGGAAATGTGGTCACCAACTAGAAAGCAAAGACTTTGATTGGAAGTTAGCACCACACTTACCTACCACCAACTGTGTGGCAGGGCTGGCCCCTGACACCTGGGCCACCCAGTGAGGCTGCTGAGCGATTTCGACATCCGGGAATCAGACCTTGTCACGGTCTCCCTTATGGCCCATCTACCGAAGGGGGCCGGAACCTCGCGGAAGTCAGAAAAGACCCAGGCGAGGACCCAGAGGCAGAACCTGTCTACGTGCAGCTCTGTCTACTGACCTCTTGCTCTGACTCACGTTCACGGAACGCTCCCCCAGTGGCGGCACCGAGTGCAGCCGAGCCTCGTCGTTCTCGGCGGTTACGGCCCGCACAGTTGCTGAGGTCACTGAGTTAGTGAGTAGCCAACTGCTGCTCTTGCAGGGAACACGGGATTAGGTTCCCTCGAGCCGCTGGCCGTGACATTTTCCTCACCCTTGTTGCACGTGTGCTTCTGTTCAGATGCCTTATGTAACACGTGCTGTGGATTCATTAACCTTGAACCCACGGCCAACGGCACCGGACTCGCGCCTGGGCGAGGCTCGTCTCATACCACGCAGGTTTTCTCCGTAAGCTGCACCCCGCAGCCTGCCTGCACCCAGGAACACTCGACAGCACTGTGCTCGGGGCTGTTCTGAGCAGTGAAATCATCAACAAAAAAGCGCAAAAATGCAAAAACATGGCACTGAATAGACCTCGAGAAGTTCACAGCATGACAGCCGAAACAAGCAGGCTTGTTTAACCTCAGCTGGGAGCGTGTGGGTGGCATGACTCGAATGTTTTGCTGCTCCACGCACGTCTGGGAATGAATGAGAAAGCGCCAGGACTACTGACTTCGGGGTACCAATAAATATTAGTGAGAGGTGAACTCACACATGTGGAATCTGTGCATCACGAGGGCTGACTGTAGAGTGGGTTCCCTGCGCCTAGTTTATCCCTGGCTTCTCTTTGATCTCCCTTGTTCTCTTCTCATCCCGTCTTTAAAAACCAGCCCTGTCTGCACTAGCCACTGGGACCTCGTGCAGTCTCTGCCCCTGCCTGGCTCCAAGGCCGCCTCCTCGCCGCCCCACACCCCACATCCACCCCTTTTCCTGCTGAATGTCATGGCCAATCTGGCGCCGATAGCCGCTGTGCTCCTGAAATCCTCTGGCCCCGAGATTTCGCTCCCTCCCCTGGCTCTCCCCTCTGGCCCAGACTTCCCCTGCTCCCCATGGAGCCCTCTTCTCCCTTCCCAAGGCTTCCACACCACTCCCTGCCCTTCCCCTCCCGGCCACCCAGGCACCCGGCTCTGATGCCAGCTGTCTGGGGATTATCCGAAACCCTGCTTCCACACTGTCCCTCTTGTCACCGGGACTCCAGGCACCTCCCTCCAGATGTTCCACTCCGTGCTCAGAACAGAATTCTTCCCTGGGAGAGACTGACCCTTCCTCCCGCAGCCCACACATCTTCCCAATTACTCAGGCCTGAAACAGATTTTTCTCGGACTTCCTCCCCTCAGTCATCCACTTGTCGCCAAGCCCTGGAGTCCTTCCTCTGCCCTCTCTCCATGCTGTTTGCTCTGGTCCTGGCCTCATCATCTCTAGCCTGGTATGTTTGGTATCCTCCTGGTGGTTTTGTCTTGCTCCCCTCAAGGGTACCTGGGCACTGTCACCAGAGTTATCTTAGCACGAGCCCTCACCAGGTCAAGGGCCCTGCCCACCTGCAGGCTGGAGTCTCAGCTCCCTCACGATGTGGCACGAGAGCAGGCAGCCCCGGCCCCCGGTTGTGTGGCCACTGCCTGTGTCCCTGTCCCCAGCTTCATGTGCCGCTACTCTCTGTCTCCCAACTTACCCAGGAAAGTGGCTCGCAGCTGACTATTCCTATGGGCCCCCAGCTGGGTCCCGCCTCCATCCCCAGCCCCTCCTGCCGGAATACAACACCTGCCCCCGCGTGCCCTGAGCCCAGCTCAACGTCCTCCCCGGAGCCCCTGTCCTCGGGCTTCCTGCACGTGGGCGCCTCTGCAACTGCACGGACCATGCTGTGCTCTGACTGCTTCTATTGTCTCCACTAGCTTGTGGGTTTCTTTTCCTAGGTCAGAAGGAGGCCTTGTTGATCTTTGTAACCCCTGATGAATGCTCCAGCATGTATGTTTACTGAATGGATGGATGGATGGATGGATGGATGGATGGATGGATGGATGGATGAATATTCCTTCCCGTCAGCAGCCCCATACCCTCAGAGCACCACTGCTGCGGCCAGCCTCCTCCTTCACCAGTTTGATCGGCTCCTTCCTTCCCAACCTCACATCACAGGCACCGCCTTAGGCCAGACTGAGCCCAACACCTGTCGGCAGCCTCTCAGGGGCCTCTCCGATTCTTCCCGTTTTGAGACTTGGGCTTCCTTTATGGGGCTGCGTCTCCAGCACCCAGACTCAGTCACCCCTTTTGTTTGTTTGAGGAGCTGCCGCCGTTCGTAGCTGCTCTAGCCCCCAGTGCCATGGGATCTGTTCTGGACAGTGCCCAGGACTCCCGGGTCTTGGGCGTCACTGCAGGAATGTGTGTGCCACCGTGATCTGATTTGACCTTTTTCTTCTCTTTTGACAGCAAATGCACTGGAAGGAAGAGAAGTTGCAACGAAGAAAGATATTTGATAAATTCCATAATTTTTCTTTTGATCAGTTCCAATCTGTAATAAATGCCTTACTTTTCCTGTAAGACTCTCTCTGTCATTGCCCGATTTAACATAAGTATGAAATTTTTAGATGAGAAACTAATGGCCTGAGAAGATAGGTGTCAGCTAAGGATTTTAGGAGTCAAAGACTCGTGAAGTGACTACGTTTGGCGTGTTTCAGGTCAATTTAAAAATGGTTGCAAATTCCTCGTTACTAAAAAGACAATCGGTCCTGAGCAAGTCAGTAACAGAAGAGTTCTGTCTTTCCTTTTACGTCTAATTTTAATTTTGAAAAATCACCGGTGGAGCTCAGGGGACTTTTAGGGCAGCAAAAACTATTCTGTATGATCCCAAAATGGTGGATTTGTGACATCATGCACTTGTCAACATCCCTAGAATGTACAATACTAAGAGTGAGCCCTAATGCAGACATGCCAGCATTGGTTTATCAGTTGTACCGAATGTGCACACTGGCGCAAGATGTCACTAAGAAAGGCAATTGTGTGGGGTGAGGCTAGGATGGGGAGAGGGAGGATATGGGAACTCTCTGTACTTTCTGCTCATTCTTAAAACAACTAACACTGCTCTAAAAATAAAGTTAATGAAAAAAAAAATAGTCTGGTGGCTACAGAGTAAGAGGTATCACAGTTAATCACTGTCCCCATGAAAATATTGTTGCTTCTTTTCCTTCAGATTCCTCAGTCTAGGGAATCAATAGCAAAGAGTGCTCTCTGTCAATGCAGGTATCACCAGGAAAGTCCCCAAGGGGCGGGGGTTTGTGTTCTCCAATCCACTTATTTAGAAATGGGCTCCAGCCGGTGCCAGTCCTGGAGCCAGGCCTGCCCTCGAGAGGTGACAGAATTTGAGGATGTGAGAAGCCCTAAACCCGATCATGCTCTCTTGCCAGGACTGGATGGAACCCATTTGAGGTCTTCTGCGTTTGGCTAGGACATCACAGACCCCCTAAAACTACTTTCTGGATGAATGGTGCACGGAGTCATTATCAGTCATTTGAGCCTAGATAGAGTGTGACTGTCTAATTCTGCTCCGGTAGTGAACTGCTTTACTTACTACGGCATTTGATAAGGCTAGTCCCTACCTCTTCCCAGTTCTTCTATTCTTTTTTTTTTTCAGAGTTTTCCTGGATAGCGCCATATTCTCATTTTATTTCAACTGTAAGATCAGCTTATCAAGTTATGAAAAAAATTCTATTGACATTTTGAATCAAATTACATCAAATTTATAAATTAATTTAGAAAAAATTGACATCTAAGATTGAGATATACATTTCCATTTACTGAAGTCTTCTTTTATATCCCTCAAAAGAAGTTTGAATTTTCTTACATGTGTTCTGCACACTTCTTTTAAAATTTATTTATTTGTCTAATTTGTTTTATTGTTATTATAAATGGAATCTCTTTCTAATTTTTAAATATTGCTTTTTTCCTATTTTCTTTGATGACTACATTCCAACAGGGTTAAATAACAGCATGGTGATAAGCATCCTTGTCTTGTTCTTTGCTTTGACAGCACTCTAAGAAGCATTTTACCTTTTCACCATTAAGTACAACGCTGACTTCTGGTTTGGTGTAAGGTGTGTCTACATTTTTAATCATATTAAGGTTGTATCTATTCTTCCACTATTAAGAGTTTATAACATAAACATATATTTATTAAATGTCTTGAAATGATCGTACTTTTTTCTTTGATAACAAAATATGGTGAATTATGTTAACAAATCACCAGTATTAAACCATCTTTGCATTCTTGGAACAATCCCGCTTGGTCATGGTTTTACTACTCTTTATGCCACTATTTCATTTAGGATGTTCATTTAAGCACCCCTGAATGATAGTGATATGGAGTTTATTTTTGCCTTGTCTTTGGTTTTGGTGTCTGTGTTGTGAAACCCCTTCTATCTTTGCCATCTCTACATGGCATCTCCTCCTGCCCCATCAACCTCCAACCCTCTGGTCTATAAAAGACCAATCTTTAAACATCATGGAGGGCAGTTGTGATTTCTTTTAAGGATGAGATAGAATATTAACTACATATACAGTAACATATATCAATTTACATATTTTTGTAACTTGTCAATCTTTGAATTCACCAGCCTTTTCCAAACATTTTTGCCAACTTTCTTCTGCAGAAGGAGGATAGTAGCAAATAAATAGTAGGCCTGAAATGTTCTATCCTTGCTTAGTAATGGTCGTTGGCCCAGGAAAATGCTGAGGTGTATAAGAAGTGCAGTGGAACTGTCTGATTTATTTTATGAATGTATCCTCTTGGACTGTGTGAGCCAATTCCATCATTATGCACGGCTACCAGGCTGCAGCTCAGCCCGTACTTTCCCTTAGGCAGTAGTAGGCCAGCAAGAATAGAAATATACTTAGTGGATAAGGGGGATTCACTGGCTGTGGCAGCAACACACACCTCATGAGAGATGCAGGTGGGGACTGTGGGGCCCACACCCTCTGCACCCTCAGCCAAGGCTGTTTCTAAGAACAAACAAGATCTAATTCCTTCAGGCCAGAATTCACATGAGTAATTTTCAGTTAAACAAAGAGAACTTGTGCCTTTTTTTTTTTTTGAGTGGTGCACACCTGCCCCTGGTTGTGGGGTTGCGGAATGTGGTCACTGCCAGGATTCCCTCCTAGCTCTGACCTCCGTAGAAATCACGGCACAAGACAAACAGCGGCAAACCTCTCTATAAAAATGCCATTGTGCCGCCGTGAGGATTGCAGCAGAACAATTTTGGCCTCTCTCCAGAGTCAGGTGTGGCTGGAGCCAACCTGTCTGGAGTGACTTTTTGTGCTACAAAATCATTGGCGCATAGACAAGCGCGACAATGTTGCATTATTGGGAGGCCCTGGGAATGCGCACTCACCTTTATTCATGGACTGTGTTTACCCTCCTGGCCCTTCAAAGCTGGGATTAAAAATTGCCAATGTTCAAATATTTAATGTTCCTCCTTGTTTTCCATCCCTGGAATGTCTCGGTGTGGCCTGACTTGGTGCCAACATGTTGTACACCACACTGTTCCTCCCTCACCTGGGTTACCGTGTATGAAAAGCTGGATGGTCAGTCCTTGTCACCTTTAGGGTCACTTCAGCTTAAAAATCCGTTGGTGTCCTCCTTAAGTTTGGGGGCAGTTTTGTATAGCTGTTCCGGTCCATGTTATTTTCCTTTCACAGCAAGAGATTTAATTTTGCTCATGAGGATAATAAACACATTTCACAATATGTTGTCTCATTTCTTTAGTGACTATTAGGTTCTAGTGGCTACAGGGAATGTATGTAAGAGAAGTAGGAAAGGGGCAAAATATGAATTCTCTACAGAATGTTCCATTCTGTGGAGAGTCCAAGTTCTTCATGTCTTTCTTGCTCCATTTTCTCTACTGAACACCCTTATCACATCAGACTGCTTGAAGGGAGGGAGAATTTGATTGAGGAAGTGATGCTTCTAGATATTTGGCAAAGCAGGTTTGAAGTCTAAACATAGCCTGCAAGTAGTGTTGCATGGTCAGGGGCCCAGCTATGGTTGCCATGGTAGCAGCTGTGGCCATTGGTCCAAGTATCACATGAAGTCTCTAACTGGGATGAGAAGGATTCCAGGATCACACACAGACAAGGGAATAATGGCAGTGTCTTAGTCTACTTGGGCTGCTATAACAAGATACCATGGACTGGGTGGCTTAAACAGCAGACATTTATTTCTCACAGTTCTAGAGGTTAGGGAGTCTGATATCAAGATTGTGTCAGTAGATTTGGTTCCTGGTGAAGGCTGTCATCCTGGCTTGGTGATGGCTGACTTCTCGCTATGTGCTCCCACAGCAGAGAGAGAGCAAGCTCTGATCCCTCTTCTTCTTCTTAAAAGGACAGTAATCCCATCATGAGGGCCCCGCTATCTCAAATTTATCTAAACATAATTACTTCCCCAAAGTCCTGCCTCCAAATACCATCACATTGGAGATTAAGGCTTCAAAATATGAATTTAGGATTTGGGGGGTGGGGGGATGAGAAAAACATTCAGTCCATAGTTGGCAACCATGAGGCATTAGACACGTCAGAGAGATTACACCCTCCGTGGACCCCAGAGACTTTGAGAGACAGGCTCACATTATTAACTGCTGACAACCTCTACCCCCACATTCCCCACCCAGTGCTACCTCATTCCCAGAACAGCAGGAGTGCTTCTGCTGTGTCCCTGGAGCCTCACAGTTGCCACAATCCCAATTCAGCCGAGGGAATGGGCTGTCCAGTATGAGAACCAGTCTTCCTGGAGATGCCAACAAGCAGAGAAAAAGAAGCCACCCAAACCTGCTCATTCTGATTGTTTCACCAACCGTATTTATTACCATGGAGCAGCAATAGGTCGGTGAGAGAAGCCACGGGTTCAAGACTCCCAGATTTCTCAAACTCATATCCATGAGTTTGCATGTATACCCCAAACCCAATCCTTTTCTTGCTCTATCTTTTGATGCCACCTTCATCTTCATCCTCCACCTCACAGGGTGTTCTGCACCACTCCTGGGTAGGTATGTATATAAAATATGCTTACATATAAATGAATTGAATGACAGCAATGATACAAGGAAAAGGAGGGATAAATTAGGAAGATTTTGTCATTATAGAGTATTTGCACTATCTCTGAAGCAGTAAAGTATTATTTGAAAGTGGACTTGAATTAGTTGTAAATACATATTGTAAACTCCTCTGAGCAATCACTTTAAAAAAGTAAAAAAAGAAAAAATAATAATATGCTAAAAAAGGAGAGATAATAGAATCATAGAAAATGCTCCATTAAAACAAAGGCAGAAAAAGTGTAGAACACAAAAATAGGTACAAAGAACAAGAGCAAGAAGTAGAAAATAGTAACAAATATGGTAGATACAAATCCAACTGTATCAATAATCACTTTAAAC